TTCATTGTTTACTAAGTAATCAGTCGCACAAAAAATTTGGCAGTGAATATACAAGGCATAACATAAAGTTGGTGAATTTTTTGATTCGTACTTTTCTGTATGCTTTGAAGGAAAACATTTGAAATGCTTAAAAAGAATAAATAATTTCTTAAGCATCACCTCTCATTACTGACAGTTTGGAGGTTAACGGGTTTCCGTCAGAGAAGAGGCATCCCCCCCCCCCCACCCCTGGCCTCCAGCTGGGCTCAGGATACTTCTGGCTCACTTTTAAGCTTAGGAAGGTTTCTTGGCAATATGAAGTTACAGTACAAAAGGCATTTAGTGCTATAGAAGACAAGTTTTACACTTATGGCTGGCTGTGGGCATGAAGTGCTTCAGAGACGGCCCCTTCCAGGAACACTTTCTTGGTTCACACTGTTTTTCCCTTCACAACATCTGATTCTTTCAGTTCCCCTTAAATGCTTCAGGCTCACAAGCAAAATCCTCACTTCTGCTCTCCAGCAACCTCTGACATTTTCCTTTCCAACCGAGGCATGCAATCCAGAAAGACACCACCACTTACATGTTTGATACTGCACTGTCAAGGTGTTTGCCTATCGCCAAATTATGAACCCAGAAGGCTCAAAGCGATTGTCCTAACCAGAAATACTTCTCGTAATTACTCATTCTTCAAATCTGTGCTATTTTGGCTCAGATATCTGTAATCATATTTCTGCAGAAGGATTTTTCCACTGCACTCTGGGGTGCTCTAGCAAGGGCTTAATTTTGGAATGCAGCTATTACCAGGCACTTTACTACATGGCAAATATGGGGAAACGAAACCATTCCAGGAGAGTCTACAATACACATAAAATACCCTCTAAGACAATCTGTGATGATACTTAAGATATATCACAGAACTGAGAAACTATAAATTTTTTTTACCCTGTATATTCTATCGATGTTTTTTATCACATGCCTTCTACATGTAAGTACTAATATACCAATATTGTACACACACAAATATAGTAAGCATAAATGTAAACCCCAAAAGGCAATGAGATAAAAAATAATCTAAAAGCTAATAATCTTCCCACACACTAGTGGAATATTTGGAGGTCAGTGCTACAGAGTATAGCACGGAAAGATGTCACTTCTGACAATAATGAATGAGTGTGGTGTTAGGGAAGAGGACACTTTTAGTGAACTCCCGAAAGCTGGACATGAAATCATTGTTTAGAATACATTAACTGAGGAGACAGTATTGTCAAAAAGGGAAGACATGATTAGCTAAAGTTCTCTTTCTTCTTTGGCATTTTTAAACCTTACACTACACATCGGCCATTTCAAACAGTCTGGAGTCTTGCAGCACTGTTCATTGACACACTGAAATGTTGATTCTGTTACTTGTCACCTCTACAAGCCTTGGGCACATTAATTTCCTCACGTCGGCTATGGGACAGTAACGTCCACTGCTGAGGGTTATAAAGACCTGCAAACCCACCGCACACTGTCAGAATATACATCTATTGCTTCGCCTTTTGCACTTTTCACCTCCTAGGAAATGAGCTCCCCGAGAGCACCGACACTACATGCCCACCATAGCCCTATTCTTTAGCCCAATACTTGTTTCAGGTACTCAAATATTGCTTTCTTTCTGCAGTTAAACATTTATGTAAGCAATAGACACAGACAGGGAAAATATACAGGTCAAGATGTAGGTCACCTAACCTGGAGAATATGTGTTATGCTGAGAAGCTGGTAGTGAACATTTAAGAGGGACCATTTAAATAATGAATGTTGGCATTGTATCTACAAAGCTAGATTGGTCTGAATGTACAACTATGCTTGACCTAACAGATACTCCCTTCCATGAAATCTACTGTTTTCTTTTTTCTGATTATCATTCCTGGTTCTAAAAATCCTTAAGATTAAAGATCTATATTTTGTATGTGATGCTAAAGGTTCAGTTAATTCAGCTCCTCAATCACTGTTGACTCGCTTTTGCTAAGGATAAGAACATGCTATCTAACTAAAAAGAATGGCTCTCACCCTAAAAATTAATACACATCTCCCTGATGGCACTGATTGTTAGGCTAAATTTAGGAAGTTTTGAATCTATTTTTTAAAAAAAATGTTTGAAGGTATCAACCTCTCTCCCTTCAAATTATCTGCACCCACCTCACCCATTTTGAATCACAGCAAATCCTGCACGTATGCACCCCTAGGAAAAAGCCCTGTGCCAATTACACATAACCCTCACCGCGATCTGCAGTTACGATTTCTTCACCTGGGAAATAACTGTCTGCTGTAACAGCAGCACTTGAAGTTCTGGATGCCTAAGCCTGCTGGGTGACAAGACACACCACACCACCTTTCTAAGACAACTGTCCGCCTTATGTAACTATGCATCACACTAGGGTTTGAACCTCATCTTCAGCAAACCAGAAAAAATCCTGCCTGTTTCAAACTGCTGTGTTACTGTTCCTAAAGGCTCCTTTGGCCACCAGTACCATTCAAAATCTTAAGCACTACTATTTCCAAAGATCACATCAACTGGCACTGAAAAAAAATCAGACCAGGTGTGGTGGCACATGCCTTACATGCCAGTATTGAGAGGGCTGAGGAAGAAGGGTTATTGTTTGAGGCCAGCCTGGACTATGCAACGTTCTGTGGTTGTGGTAGACCACAAGCTGGGCAACATAAGCACCTGCCTGGCAAGCGCAAGGTCCCAAGTTCAGTCCCCAACATGGGGTGTGGGGTGGGGCTTCCAATGCATCTGCTGACAGAAAACGGGAGTAAGGAAATGTTTTAAAAATATAGTTAGCAATTGTAAGGGGTAAAACATGGGATAAAAAAGTAGGAGGGAGATTCAGAGTCAGATTCTAAGGCAAAGGGAAGGAAAATTGAATGGGGCAAGTAGGTTTGTAAATTACTTGACAGGTGAGAAAATGCCTGTGACCAATCCTGAGTACATAGATTTAATAACCTCACTCAATAAAGCTGGTTATTATACAAACATAATCAGCATAAAAAAATCAATAGTATTAAAGAAAAATCCAGAACCAGCTAAATGATCAGCGGACTAAGGCGCCTACTTAGGCAGAGCACTAGGACAGGATTTGATCCCTGGCCTGTCATGCTGGCCCCAACCCCAGGGCGCCCTGAGATGGCGACTGAGACTGGGCGTGGTGGCGTGCACCTGTAATCCCAGCACTTGGGAGGCTGAAAACAGAAGAATCACTACGAGTCTGATCTATGTAGTGAGACCCTATACCCGGAAGACCTTGTACTAAATATATATATAAAAAAAGAAAAATCCAGTATTACAATACAGTAACCGAGGAGAGCTCAGTAGAGTAAGTGCTTTCCTGGCAAGTGCAGGGTTGAATTCAATCCCCGTTAATGAAAATAAAAATAAAAAAAATTTTTAAAAGTAGTAACCAGTAACCATATCCAGTTTTTTGTCTTTAAAACAAATCTTACTACATAGTTCAAACAAAAGACAGCCTTGTATCGTACTAAATTAGGCAAAATTGAATTAGCATTACTTTCTGGGTTTATCACCACTTTTTCACAATCTAATAATCTCAATAAACTTAGTGAAAAGTGATGTTCAACCTAAATGCTATCAAGTTTAAAAAAAAAAAAAAAAGTATTATAATAGAAACAGAAGAGAAAAATATAATTTAGAATAAGTTGTTAAAAAATATTGAGGCTGAGAAAAATCAAATCACGAGTAGTTAAGACTGAGACAGTGCTCCACAGTCAATGGGTGTGTCACTTAGTACTTGCTCAAATGCGAAAGCACTGCTAATCCTTCAGTAGGAATTCACTAGAAAACTCAAGCTGAACTTCTAGGTCTGAATCTCATTTTTAAAAAGACAAGTATTTTGTTATGGTAAAGCTGCTGTATTTAACCACTATGCAAACACAGTAGGTAAAGGTAAGTGTATAAATGCCTTGAGAAAAATTTCAGTTCTGGAAAAAAAAAAAAAAAAGCCCCAAACACGGGCCAGGGAGATAGCTCAGGGGCAGCAAGTGCTAGGTCCACAGTTCGATGTAGAAAATGTAGAACAGGTAGCAAATCTGTATTTAGGGTACTAAAGGTCAATTAGCACAGCTAAAGCTAAGTAGAAAATACCTGAACATGTGAAATGTTACAATTCTGCTTCCCAAGCAACATGAAGCAACATTTATCTCCTTAGCTTTTCTTAAACTGGCTAATCCAAGGAACAATGTGTTTACACGCATACGTGTGTGCTAATAATGAATACACTGAGTTGCAGCTTAATGAAAACTGAGGCAGACAGGCTACGCATAAAGGTGTTACTAACGCCTGCAATGAAACTATTGCCTAGGAATAATTCAATTTTAATGCATACCCTAAAATTCCCAGATTAAGTATCAATAGATATGAGCTCTTCGTGAAGTATGCTTAAAAACACTCAAGTGTTTTGGACTTACAGATTACATTTCAGTGTATTGGCATGTATGTCCAAAACACGACAAAGGGGGAAACAGAAGCAAAGATTTTCATAGATTTTGCAAGTGTAAAAAATGTCTGGCATTCAAGTTTCAGCTAAAATTTGAGTTACTTTCTTAGATCTTTCTTGAGGTCTTAGCCAGAAAAGTGCACTCTTATCACTTTACCTTACAGATACCACTTCCTGAAATACGTTGTCCACTCATCTACTGAGTTATTTTCTAACTGCAGAACTGAAGACTTCATGAGCACAGAGATCCTGTATATCTTGCTTACTGTTTCATTTTTAGCACACATATTATTTGCTGAATAAACGGATTTTGCAGTGCATGGGAACCAATCTGGACGACAAAAGTGTATCAGGCATATTATTTTAAAACAGAGTTGGAGTATTTCTATTTGCCTTAGAGTGAATTAGATGGCAGAAAATTATGCAAGTTTATTAAAGTGAAAAATTTGGGAATCCCCCCGCAAAAAACTACTCATAAAATATTTATCCCGTAATTCTTATACTGGTTAAAAATAACGAGATGAAGCAATTTTGAACATGGTAATTTATTTTATGCAATTTAAATTCATTGTTTAAAAATTTTCAAAAGGCACTTTAAAAACATTTGAAAATACATTTTTCTGACTTAATGGTGATCACTTAAAATAAGTAAGTCACCCAATATTTTTAAACCATTCATGACACTGACTTTAAATAATTGCTAAATTTCAAAACACATTCACTATATAGCACAACACACTGCTTAGCAGTAAGATTAGTTTCCCTCTATAACAGACTTCATGTAGATCATTCATTGTAGGGCCCTGCAGTTATTCAAATGCCATAAATTCAAACTGAGCTAAAGAGGTAAAAGCTGAAATAGAACGCGCTTCAACTCTAAAGCTACTTTTAGGGCTGTTTTCTCTAAAGAGAACTTACAGAAGTTATTTCAATCTGTTAATTTTTATTTCAACTCTGATATATAAACATGAGTCATTTTTAAATAAGAGGATAAGATTCCACATAAGATGATATACCACAGGCTGTCTCCCAGACTTAAGCTAGTTTCTGTCAGGCCTATTGTAAAGAGGTAAGCAAATGATCCAAATAACCTCACTTCCTTTAACAATTACAATGTAGAATTAGCTTAAAATTGTGTATTTTTAAGTAGGGCAATTACCCTGAGAACCAGCAGGAATTATTATTAAACTTTTAATCTCACAGGGAAACCCAAAGGTAGGGGATATGAAATTATCCGCAAGTAAAACAAATTCTCATCATTAATAACAGCCAAATTAACATATGAAGGCATTCTGAAGAGTAGCTAGAAAGTGGAGGTTAGTTATTAAGGAAATAAAGGGCAGTAAATACAAAGCAGCAGAAATTGTTAAGAGACAGAATCATCTGATCAAGGGAGGGAGTCTTTCAAGTACAATAGTGCCTCAATCTGTTTATACAGTTTGACAGACTCAAAGAAATGAAAAAAATCAATGTTCAAGAAACAATTAGGAGAATAGCTAGCAACTTTAATGTGTAAGTCCAATTACCATATTCAAAAACGTTAAACACTGGTCAGTGATTTATGTTCTAATCTGATTACAATGACAGAAACTCCTCTGAGTTGAAGGTATTTGAAAATAACCAAATCATGGGATGAAAACCTTTGTATCTATGAAATTCCAACCAGAAAATAAAAATATGGTACTGTTAGAGAACAGAAAATATTAAAAGCCTTTATGTTGGTATTGCTGAAATAACCGTCGAAGATCTGAATCTAGAAGACAATGACTAGCACTGTTACCATGAAATCTGATTGCATGTGCCCTGCCAAATACCTGGAGAATGTTCCTGCTTCATCAGATTATACAGAACAGTCAAACACTGCATACTAAACACAGCAGTTTGCTATCTTTAATATTTATCAGTAACACTTCTGTGGATGTCTGGTGACATTTACTTATGTATGCTTTTGATGAATGCAGTTACTAGTAATTAATGAATCCTTTATATCCAATGTAAATTTATTAAACTTGGAGAATTAAAGATTTTACAGATTTAATATCAGCTCCCTGATATTAATTGCTTTGGAGAAGCTAAAAAATTTTGCCAAAATCAATGATCCAATGACCCTTTAAATTATCTTTAAGTAGTTTACTTTTAATATAGTGTGATCTTGGACTACACTGATTGAAAACATGCTTTGTCTAAGCTTTTGAAAAGCGCCTTACCCACGGGGCAGTTATCCTGAGTGTTCCTAAGACTACTTGCACCATAGTCATGTAAGCAGGTGGGCAGTGGTTCTCACAGAAAGAATTACGACTCACCCGTAGGGCTTGTTGAATGGGGGTGTGTGTGGAGAGTAGACTCACCCTGGAGTTTCTGATTTAGCACAGCTCAGGTAGGGCAGGTCCAACAAGTTCCCAGCTGTCACTGATACTGCTTGCTGGAGCCACTGTTTGATAACTAATGTGTGCTATCCAGTACGAATATGTAGTCTTGGCCCAACCATAACCAGAATCCCTGGGACTAGGGTTTTAGATATCCATTTAAACAAACTCCCAGGCAAGAGTGAGAACCACAATTTAAGCATCAGTATAATGATTTGGCTGGTTAATTTGACTGTTGCTGGCCAATGTAACAGATGTCACATATCGTATATGTGAAAATAATGCTAAATAACCCCAAGGTCGGTCAACACAAATGAATACACAGGGTCCGAGTACGATTTCTAGTTCTGTTACTTACTAGCTTTGCAACAGTGCAAAAGTGGCTTTGAATTCCCTGGGCCTCTGTTTCCTTATCTATAACATGGGAATAATACTAAATTAGTGAGGATTAACACTACTATATATAGAATAAGCACAGTATCTGGTGTGCAGTAGATACTAGATAAATACTGTAAGAAACATACAAAAACCTTTCGTGAGTTGATCATTTTACTATTTAAATAAAATATTTACACTCCAGGATAACAGAATAATAAAACCTTTTACTTTATTGCTCCCTAGACTGCACTAAACAATGTTTTAAGAGCCTTGCATATATTTATTAATCCTCATAAAAATCCTATGAGGTAGGTAGTAGTATTATCCCTACTTTACAGATAAGAAAATTGAGGCACAGAGAGACTAAATTGCTCAAGGTTACAAAAATAGTAAGTGACAGATCACTTACTATTTAAATTTAAATCCCAGGCAGTTTGATTCTGAAGTTCAGGATTCACTGCAGCATTCATCGCCCATGAGTTAATTTCAAGGGTTTATGTTTATGCTAAAGCTGTATTTACATTTCTAATAAAGAACAGCATTTACGGACCGCAGATCACATCCACACTAGAGTCAGAAGTTGTTCAAAGAACAGAATGAATGTCTTGAAATTTTGTAGATATCATCATTAAAATAATAAACAATAAGTAAAAGTTGGTGTGTTTTTACTATGTGAATGAGTAGCCCAGAGTTAGTCACTGAAATTACAGTCTCTAAAATACACCGTACAAAGAGGTCACGATATGTTTTGGCACAATAAATATACTTAGCCAAGCAATGGAATGGAATCAATGGCATAACAACTAGGAAAAATAAGCATAAGGGAAACCACATGAAATATTAAAAATAATCTTACAGAAAATCTGCAAAATAGTTATACACTCAGTATTGCTAGACAAAAGAAGTTGAAAATTTTCCTTCTTTGCAAAAACTCTTCAAACAGAGTGATTAAAGTAAGACGAAACATTTAGTCATGTTTCTGATTGTATGCTAAAAAGGGTATTCTGAAGTGCCAGAATTATCCACTGGCGTGACAATGATTCCAAAATAACAAGTTAACATCAAACTTTAGGCTGCTGCTCATAAATTGTTTGGTCTTTTAATATATTTTAGTTTGTTTAAACGCTACATTTTCTAATAGATTTAATTAACTCTGGTCAAAATCTTAATTCAAAATATTTTGCCAGTGTAACAGCCACCGCAGACATAAACATGAATTTTAAAACAGATTTAACTAAATTATGAAAGGCACAAGCAAGTTCTCAGTTCTCAAAAGGATGAGAATGAAAAGAATAATAATTATGAAGGAGTAATTCCTATCATGGCACTGGTATAACAAAAGCATGCCAAAACAGCATTAAATTTATTATTACCCATAATTAATAATGGGCAATTTTGGAACAAAATATTTTAAAATGCTTGTTTACAGACTATTAATGCTTTAATAAATATTAATGGTGGAGAATGGCACTCAAGAGAGTTTAGAAAAGAACAGAGATCAGTAAAAGATTAATTAGAACCAAATATATCGAGGCCCATGATAATTTCAAAACGTAGTTTTATTAATGCACTGTAAGGTAAGTGCCATTCTTATTCTATCTTCTTTAAGAAATATTACTAATTATAAATAACCACTGCAAACTTTTCATTAAACAACTGTGTGGGGGGTAGCGGTTCACTTATATCATACTGTAAATGAATTTATAAACAATGCTAGGCAACAATATTTCCTTCTAAAATTTTTAAGGCAGGTCTGTTTAGCATTGTGTTCCTAATGTGGTGCAGTGCAGTTTCAGCGAATTTAACTGATTTAATTTTAGTTTCTAGTGACAATAATACACATGGTCAGAACAGGTAACAAAATCTTTTACTAGTTCTACTTGCCACCACTTTAAAAACAAGTTCTTACATAGATTTATATATTACTGTATCAAAACACATTTAACACATTTCACAGCTCATTTAAAGCTTCAGTTTACAGTCATTCACTTGAAAGGTTTCTATGCGGAATGTCACTGGGATTTCAAGGTTCTGTCAGAGATGCGGAAGTCCTTCTTCAGTGCAACGTCAGACACTTTACCTTGGCTCATTTGTTTTCCTTTCAAGGGTTTCCTAATTTTACTTTTGAATCTTCATTTTTGTTTACCTGACTTACTTCCTTTAGTATGTTCTCAGGTAAGGCAGGTTGATATCTATACAAATATCCATATGCACGAAGATGGTAAACGAGGTATTCTAATTCATACATTGTTGTAGAATCAACATAGTGAAAAGAAATTGCAAGATCGGAACAGCAACCGGGACCCTAAAATAATGGTAGAAAGACATTATTAATAAAAAGCATATTGGGGCTGGGGAGATGGCTCAGTAGAATAAGTGCTTGCCTGGCAAGTGTGAGGGCCTGAGTTCAATCCCCGGTTCCGCAAAAAATAAAATAAAATAAAATAAAATAAAATAAAATAAAATAAAATAAAATAAAAAGCACATTAATATCCAATCATATTAGTAATATCCAATACTAATTTTAAAACAATTCAAATATTATAGCTGCCATGGTAAACAGAAGTACCTAATTTATTAAACAAGTGAAACAGTTGTTAGAATTCTTAGCCAAACATAAAACTGCCAGTGTTTCTAACTGAAACCATATTCTTTTACTCTTCATTGTCTTAGTGAAAAACAAGTTCCCGGACAAGAGTGTGAGAACCACAAATGAACACACAGTGTTTAACTTGCTACTAGTATACTATAGTTTATTTCAAATTTCTGATACTTTTTGGAAGCAACTTTTATGACTGAACTATAGTATTATGCTGTTATTCTTGGGCATACAAGCAATAAGACAATAAAAGAAAATAGCTAAATAGCTACATATCAATATAGTTACATTAACATGTAAATAATGTAAATGAGACCGACAAATGATATCTGGGCATTTCTAAACTACAGCAAATAGGGCCAGGGAGATAGCTCAGTGACATGGTACCTGCTTGGCAAGCTCAAGGTCCCAAGATTGAGTCCCAGTACAAAACAAAACAAAAAACCTACAGAAAAGAAATTCATATGAAGAGGAGTGAACATATATGAGTAATTATAGAATGGTACCCCTATATTCACAAACAATTTCGAGAACAATATGATCTGCAAAATAAAGAGTTGGCAAATTTATTTTTGTTTTCAAACTCTATCAGGTGACAACACAACAGTGACCATCTTTCTCCCAAAAACACAAATGTGGCCGTTTTTCCAAAGTCATAAAACAAATTAAGTTTGTGAACTGAGGTACCACAATGTATCTATTTTCATTCTATGAAGATTACAAATGTTCTGAAGAGTATTTTGGAGAGAATGAAGACCACAATTCTAAGAATACCAACAGAAAGAAACCAGCAGGCAAGGTAAAAGCAATTAAACAACAAGAGGAAAATAAGGAAAACATACACACACACACACACACACCCCAATTATAACCACTAATGTACATGCTATCAATTCACCAAATGAAAAAGACTGGCAGAATGGATCAAGACAACAAGATCCAACAATCTGCTACATCAAGAAACACATTTAATTCAAAAAGAAATTCACAGAGTGAAAGTGAACTGATGGAAAACAGTAATTCATGCAACAGGAACCCAGAAAAGGAGGGATAGCACACAAAGAGCGCTTCAAGGCATGAGAGATCAAAAAAGACAAAGAAGGTCACTATATACTTGTTAAAGGAAAACTATAAGAGATAACAATTATAATATCTATGGACCAAATAAGGGCACTCAATCATATAAAACAAATACTAATAAAAATGAAAAATCTAAGCACTAACATCATTGAAATGGGTAACCTCAATATCCCACTGTCACAGATAGATCAACCAGACCAAAAAAATCAACAAACGTAAGAACTGAACCAAACCTGTGAACAAATGAACTTTGTAGGGTGTATGGAGCCAGGGAGATGACTCAGTGGAATAAGTGCTTGCCTGGCAAGCATAAGGTCCTGAGTTCAATCCCTGGTACCACCAAAAGAAGACTTTGTAGATTTCTACAAAATGTTCCATTCCACATCAGAATATACATTCTTCTCAACTGCATATGACATGATCTCTAAACTAGACCACATACAAACTCAGTGAACATGCTCAAATAAATGCAAAAGAACTTAAATTATTCTATGCACGTTATCAGATCACAATGCCATAATATTAGAAATCAATGACAAAAACTACATAAACACATGGAAATTAAATAAGACCTTTGAACAACCAAGGGGTCACAGATGAAATTAAAGTAATTGGTTTCTACCATTAAATGGTAATTCCAATACAACATACTGAGTCTTATGGGATGTAATGAAAACAATCCTAAAAGAAATTTATAGTGCTGAACTCTCAGATCAGGAACACAGCACAGGCCCAAATAATCTAATGCTGAACTTCAAACTACTGGAAAAAGAAAAAGTCAAGCCAAAAGCTCAAATGAGAGGGGAAATGATAAAAGAGAGCAGAAATTAATGCAACTGAGATTAAGAAAACAATGCAATGAATCACAGAGTTGGTTCTTTGAAAGATTAAATTGATAAATCTTTAGTTAACCTTACGAGAGAGGGGGGCGGGGAGAGAGAGAGAGAGAGAGAGAGAGAGAGAGAGAGAGAGAGAGAGAGAGAGAGACAGACAGACAGACACAGACAGACAGATAGGGTGCTCAAAGCAATTAGGAGTGAAAAGGGTGAAAACACAATAGATCCTGCAGAAATCCAGAAGATCAATACTGACTTTGAGAACTTGTATTCTAATAAGATGAAAAACACAGAAGAAATGGACAGATTCCTAAATACATATGAATTACCAAAGCTGAATCAAGAACATACAAAAATTCTAAATAACTCAAATGTCAATGAAATTGAAAATGCAATTAACAACTTACCAATAAAGAAAACCTCAGCACTGATAGATTTACTGCTAAATTCTACAAGAAATTTAGAGAAAATCTAATGCCATTAGTCTAATACCAAACACTTCAATGAAACTGAAATTCATTCCTGGAAGCAAGTATTACCCTGATAGTAAAAGCACAGAAGGATCCAGCCAAAAGAGTCAACTACAAGCCTATCTCCCTAATGGACAAAACAAAACAAAACAAAAGAACAAGAACAACAACAACAAAAAACACCTCAGTAAGATACTGGCAAACAGAATGGGGCAACTCATCAAGATGATTATATACATCATGACTGTGCAGGATTCATCCCAGAGATGAAAGGTGGTTCAACATATACAAACAACTAAGTGATATCAGCAGAGACAAAGACAAAAATTACATGATTTTATTAATAGATGCAGAAAAAGCATTTGACAAAGTCCAATACCCATTCATGATCTAAAACATCCTATAGAAAACTGGAATTGATGGTCTTTACCTCCATCTGATAAAAGCTGTCTATGACAGACAAACCAGCAGCCAACATCATACTAATATGGTCAAACACTGGAAGCGTTTACTCTGCATCAGAAACAAGACAAGGGTGTTCACTACCATCATTCTTATTCCACATAGTTCTGGAAACATTACCCACAGCAACTAGCCAAGAGAAAGAAAAAGAAGAAAGATAGGAAAAGAAGTTATATTATCATTACTTGCAGAAGATGTGATGCTGTACATAGAACACCCCTGTTATGGTTTGTGTTTAGATATTCCCACCCCAAAGCCTCATGCAGTAATGGGGTGGACGTCTAGAGTTTCTGATTGACTCATGGTCCAGTGCTGGGATAACAGGTGTGAGTGCCGCATCCAAGAGAAGGGGGCTGGCTCAATAGCTCAGTGGATTAAAGTGTGCGCCTATAATACCAGCACTTGGAAGCTGAAAACAGGAGGATCACTATGAGTCTGACCTGTGTAGTGAGACCCTGTATTAAAATATGAGAGTAAGTGAGTGAGTGACTGAGAGAGAGAGAGCCAGCCAACCAGCCAGAGACAGCCAGAGACAGAGACAGAGACAGAGACAGACAGACAGATACACACACAGAGGCTTGCTTTCTGCTCTTTCTCTCTTTTTGTTCTGTGTTGCTTTTGCTGTCTTCTCCCACCTTGGACTGCTGCCCATGCATGCCACCCTGCACTAGAGCCAGCTGATTACAGACTAAAACCACCACAAACTGTGAGCTAAATAAACCTTTCCTTCCTGAGTTTTGGACATCAGGTATTTTGTCTTAGCAATGTAAGAAAAGTAAGACAACCCCAGAACTTCCACCATAAGACATCTAGATTTAATAATGAAATTCAGTTGTATAGCTGGATACAAAGTCAATACTCAAAAATCAATAGCATTCCTGTACACAAACAACAAACTCACTGAGAGAAATCATACATTTCCCAATGGCACTGAAAAAAAATGAAATACCTGGGACTCAATCTAACAAAGGAAGTGAAAGATCTTTACACTGAAAACTACAGTATTCTGAAAAAAGGAGATTGAAGAGGATTTAAGAATATGGAAAGATACCCTTGCTCTTGTGTGTAGGAAGAACGAACAGTGAAAATGGCCAGACTCCAAAAACTGTTAAAACAGATTTACTGCAATCCTGGTCAAAATTCCAACAAAATACTCCACAGAATTAGAGAAAAGTCCTAAGATTCATTTGTAATCAGAAGAGACATAGAACAACGAAGGCAATTCTAGGCAACGAAGGCAAGACTTGAGGCATAATAATCCCTGACCTTATATTACAAAGATATA